CATTCATACAGGTTTGAGTAAATAAAGACAGAATATTCATTTTGAAGTGAACTAATCCTTTAAGTAAAAAAAAAATGTGTAAAGGCAGGACTCAAAAGTCTTAGAAACCAGTTGTGAAAATGCTTATGTTTTGCATTCTCTTTTAATTTCATGCATTTTATGTATATATATAGATTCACCAGTGCAGTAAAAAGTGCAGGAAACATTCCTCAGAGATTTTGGTCCATATTGACCTGACAGCATCACTGTAGTTTTGTCAGCAGCACATCCACGAATCAAATCTCCCGTTCACCACATCCCAAAGGTGCTCTATTGGAATGGTGACTGTGGAGGTCATTTGAGTATAGTGAACTCATTGTCATGTTCATGTATGATATGATTTGAGCTTTGTGACATGTCATTTTCCTGCTGGAAGCTATAGCCATCAGAAGAAGGGTACACTTGGTCATAAAGGGATGAACATAAGCAACAGTATTCAGGTAGGCTGTGGTGTTTAAACGATGCTCAATTAGTACTAAGGGGCACAAGGTGTGCCAAGAAAACATCCCCCACACCATTACACCACCAGCAGCCTGAACCGTTGATACAAGGCAGGATCCATGTGTTCATGTTGTTTATGCCAAACCCTCACCCTACTATCTGAATGTGGCAGCAGAAATCAAGACTCATGAGAACAGGCAACATTGAGTCCATGAGAATTGTAGCCTCGGTTTCCTGTTCTTAGCTGACAGGAGTGGCACAGGTGTGTCTTCTGCTGCCGTAGCCCATTTGCTTCAAGGTTCAACGCGTTTTGCGTTCAGAGATGCTCTTCTGAAGACCTCGGTTGTAACTTTCTATCAGCTCGAACCAGTCTGGCCATTCTCCTCTGACCTCTGACATCAACAAAGCATTTTCGCTCACAGAACTGCCGCTCACGGGATATTTTATCCTTTTTAGACCATTCTCTGTAAACCCTAGAGATGGTTGTGCATGGAAATCCCAGTAGATCAGCAGTTTCTGAAATACTCAGAACCAGCCCATCTGGCACCAACAACCATGCCACGTTCAAAGTCACTTAAATCACATTTCTTCCCCATTCTGATGCTCAGTTTGAACTTCAGCAGGTCGTCTTGAACATGTCTACATGCCAAATGCCTGCTACAGTCTGTACGATTTTCAATCCTATAAGATCATTACAAATCGCACTGTGAATATAATAAACTTGGGTACGACATGTACGATGCGCGATGTATGTACCATGCACGATGATGACACCTATTGAATCGTAGGCTACGATACAAGTTAGTATAGAATAATAAAACGTCATTAGCATGCGCTAGTGGTAAACAAATAATTGTGGTGTTAACGTGCGCTAAAAAGAAGGAGGAATCGAAAAAGGAGAATATGGACACGGTCATCATGACTGGGGAACAGAGGCCAACTTGGCATGCCAATTTTGCTAATGGAGCTTGAGGTAAGTAGTTTTAGCACCATTTTGCGTTGACCTATACGCCATTTAATGTTGCATTTTTATTGGCTAGTCAGTAGACGTAGGTCATATCAGCAAACATACTGTGAGATGATCATGCTAAATTTCTGACAGTGCCAATAAATGATCGCAGGCTATCTTTGGTTGTGAGACCGTGTCAACTGCCGTCACTCTTACTGTACGACCACTGTTTAAGAGCTACAACCAAAGAAATCACCACTATTGGTCACCTTTCATCTGGGACAGCCCAACATTGTACAATGTGTACCAGGCATAAATAGATTGAGTTGCTGCCATGTGATTAGCTGAAATTTGCATTATGGAGCAATTGAACAGGTATAACTAAAGTTACCAGTGAGTGTGTGTGTGTGTATATATATATATATATATATATATATATATATATATATATATATATATATATATAAACACATGTTTTGTATTTAGTATTCTCTCTTTTGCTTTAGAAAAACTTGAGCTGGCATGAGCTCCATCTTGTGCTTCAATGGAAGCAAGAACATCTGACCATTTGTACAAAGGAGTTCACAAACGCAGTGATACAAATTAGATTTGAAAATTTAAAAATGTAGATATTTATATAGAATAAATGTCCTTTTGTCAAAAATCTAAAATTCAGGTAACATTTAAATTTCAAGTGACTTTTAAACTCTACTGCATAGGAGTTTTCATGTGTAGTATCACACACTAACACTAGAGGTCAGTAGAAGGAAAAATGTCTGCATTTTTTCATCTGTCTATTTCTGTTTTAAGAGAACTATGAATGACTCCAGGAACCTGATGATGGTGGCATCTGAACAGGCTCAGCTTATGGCTAATCTTGCCAAACTAATACAATCCAATAAAACCATTGAGATCGGTGAGTACAAACAATATAATTCATGAAAATTATATAATTTACTGCTTACCTATAAAACACACATTTTGCATCTGTCTTAGGTATGTACACAGGATACAACACCTTAAATTTGGCTCTGGTAGTTCCTGAGAATGGACGCGTGGTGGCCTGCGAAATTAATGAGGAATATGTGAAAATAGGCAAGCCATTTTTTATCGAGGTAAACCAAAGCAAAACACAATCCAGCAAGTTTGCAAAACTATTCAAGGCTGCGTTTCCCAAAAGCATTGTAAGGCAAGTTGATCGTGGAGACCATTACCACCAATGTTCTCTACGATCAACTTATCTCATTATCTCACGATGCTTTTGGGAAACACGGCCCATAATAGTACCTTTTAATGCAGGCTATGCAGCTGAAGTCATTTGTTTTAGTAGGACACATCACTGCTTTAGACAACCGTATCTGTGAAGTTGCTCCTCTACATACACCTACACAATATCAATTTCAATACTGATTACTGCCTGCCAATGCAAGAACACAGTCATCAGTATAAAGTCCAGCTGACCAGTAACGATTGAAGGCAGAGATGCAGAAATGTCCATCAGACTTAACACCGATTGCTGATTGAGACCGATTGTACATCTAAGTGCTGATATCTGCACAAAGCCAATCAAGTGCTTTATCTACAATTTTCTCTTTTTATTCTAAAGTTTTATAAAAATGGCATGAAATAACACCCAATCATAAAGCAAACTTACATGTCTGGAAAAAGCAAAGATAACAGATAACGGAATGAGGGATGTTTTGTTATTCACTATGAATTTACAAAGTAAAATTAGAACAAATAACTGCAAACTATCTTTGTTTTAGGCTGGAGTGGAGGATAAAATAGATATTCATATTAAACCTGCAGTTGATACCTTGGGTAAAGATGAAATACAATATTATCATTATTATTATTATTATTTCAAGTCGAGATATAGAAAAAAAAAAACATCCTTGTGTCTTTACAGATGAACTCCTAAGTGCTGGTGAAGCTGGAACGTATGACTTTGTGTTCATTGACGCTGACAAGAAGAGTTATGACACATACTATGAAAAGTCACTCCAGCTTGTTCGAAAGGGTGGCATTGTAGCTATCGATAATGTAAGTAGTACACGTTATTATAGTTTTGAAACGAGCCCATACGTAAATACATGCTGTATGCTACATTTTACAGATTAATTTAGAAATATTAAGATAAATAAAGCAAATATTTTCCTACCTTTGGTTGTGAGTAAGCTGGTGTCTTTCTGCTCTCCAGGTTCTCTGGGGTGGTAAGGTCATCAACCCAGCTGAAGATGACCTTTCTTCACAGACCATAGACAAACTCAACAAGAAGTTACACAAAGATGAGCGGATTGATCTTAGTATGCTCACTGTTGGAGATGGCCTGACACTGGCCATCAAAAGATAACCCAGATTGTTTAACAATAAATAAATAAATAGTCTATAGAAAGACAATCCTGTTCCTGGAGATCTACCTTCCTACCTTCGAGTTCAGCTCCATCTCTACTCAACACAATTGTCTGTAATTATCTAGTGCTGCTGATTCAGGTGTGTTTTATCAGGGTTGGAGCTACATTTTGCAGGCTACTGACCCGCTCCGGTAGATCTCCAGGAACCGGATTGGGCACCCCTGGTTAACATGTTGAAAATTCATTATTATTGTTATTTTAAATACACTTTTCACTAAATAAATAATCACATTGTCAACCAAATTGTCTGGGGTTCATGAAAACTATGGCCTGTAGGCTGTAACCATTAAAATGATTAATATATTTATAAAGCTGAAACCATTTTTTGCTAAGCCTTGCAGCGTCATAAGGTTTGGCCACTAGATGGCGTCATTACTCTTCCTTTTCAAGTTAGTTCACCTTTGAGAAAAACAATAGTCTCTAGGCTACTTATTTAATTGTGTGCAACGTAATTATTTTTTGTACTGTAGCCTACTATCTTTAATTTAAATTTAAAGTGACAACTGATGTAACACATTAAATAAACGTAGGCTATATCTGATATAATCGTAAACTATGATAGGCTATACATTTTAAACATTTTTTTCTGTTGATTATAACAATTTTACATTTCCCTTACCTACTCAAGAATTGTTCGTTAGCATCAATAAAGGAAGTAGTGTTACATTTTAACGTGTTGTTGACCTCGGACTCATACCCTTAAAGTTTCGTTTATCATTAATCAGACCAATATGTGGAAAGTGAAACTTAGCTCGTTATTGGAATGATTGGTAGGCTAACCTAACCTAACGATACCATATAAAACCAAGAAAGTTGTTTCGATGAACACCAGATGAGCTCACAGATTGGTAGAAGCAAGGTAAGACTTTGTATCTGTTGTCATGATGTGCATTAATAAGTAAAATAAGCTGTTTAGATTCAAGAGAATTCTTTCTCTACACTGTCTCTTAAGTAAAATAAGCTGCTTTAAATCAATAATAGAAACTATTTTGCAAAAAAATTTGAAAAAAATGCAATTCTATCTGTGATTACTTTTGATCTAAAAAAACTTTTAATTAAGATTTAATTTAAAATTAATATTTAAGATAGCATTTTATGTAAATTATACTTGACTGATCATTTAATTTTGTTTTTCTAGATCCAATTGAAAACAGTCAGATATAGGCTACTGTAAACACAGTAGGTACAGATTCAAAGGAAACGAAAACTGAAAGAGTGTAAACATTTGCATCTATTTTGTGTTTTAAACAATAAGGAAATGTCTGAGGACGATCTTAAACTGTTGTCCTGCCACTTTACATGGGGCTTGCTAAAGGAGGATGCTGATCTTAACTTTCTCGAAGTGAAAGTTCGTGAAAAACTTTCAGTAAAAGGCGAGTATGTAGGAAACCTGAAACAAAGAGATTTCAATTTTTTGGCCTTCATTAAACATTTGCAAGGTTTGAACAACGAGGCGCTTAAGAACCTGCAACTAGCAAAGGAGGAACATCCGGACGATGACAGGAATGGGATAGTGATGTATGGGAACCTGGCCTGGGTGCACAGTCTCGTGGGCAATGCGACTGAGGCTGAGAAGTACGTAGAGAAAGTAAATGAAATCCTTAAGGCTTTCCCCACCTCATCTCCAACAGAGCTTCACAGAGAAGTTCAGAGTGAAAAAGCCTGGTCGCTTCTCAAGTTTTCTAGAAAGTCCTACGTCAGGGCACAGGAGAGTTTCCTTGAAGCTCTACAGAAAGAGCCGGATGACAAGGAATGGAACACAGGCTTTGCCTTTTCTCTGTTCCGTCTGGAGGGACTGAAGATTGGCCAGCACAAGCGTGTGCGTTTTGAAGAGTCTCCAGCTGTGCTCCAGTTAAAGAAAGCTCTGAAACTGGACCCGAACAATGCAATGATTCACGTGTATCTGGGGTTAAAGTGCTACAAGAATGGAAAGAATGCAGAGGCATGGCAGTACATGACTCAAGCCATCACAATGGCGCCGGATAACCTCAGCGTTGTTTTGCGTGTTGCAAAGTTCATGAAGAAAGAGCAGCGTTATGACACGGCCCTGGAGGTGTTGATTAAAATGCTGAAGAAAGCGCCAGACTCGTCACGCTTACATCATGAGATTGCTAACAATTACCGCTGGAAAGCCATGCAGATTGAAGACATACACAATCCGGAGTTGCTGGGCCTTTGTGTTCACCATTTAGAGAAGGGTGCCAGTTTAAACCCAGGTCACATATACCCACAGCTGGAGTTGGCACAGAGGTATGCAGAACTAAAGCAGACGGCTAAAGCAGAGCAGAAGTTCTCTGAGCTGTTTGCCCTTCCAGACCTAAAGCCAGCTGACCGTCAAGCCTGGCATCGCATGTATGGGGATTTCCAACTATACAGGCTGGGCTCAGAGAGAGCTGCGGTCGAGCATTACAAACAAGGCATGAGGCTGGGACAAGTGTCCACCGAATGGATCAGTTGCAGAAACAGAATGAGAAAAGTCCTTCAGCGTGACAGACGGGACACATACGAGATCCGGATGTTCTTTGCTTCCTTGAGAACGGAGAACAAAGATTTTTGAGAGAGAACAAGTTCAACTCATAGGCTTCAATAATGCAATGAGCTATCATTATGTCTATGGAAAGTCCCCATAAAACATGAAAACACATCTTTAAATCTTTATTTAAAATATGTAAAGTCTGCCGATTTAGATTATATAGTTGCTGAATTGCTTTTCTTCACAACAGTCATCTTTTGTTCAATAGGCTAGCAGGAATTTTGCTTTATCCAAATTAAAAAAATATATATTTTTAAGGTGCTTTACTTACTTTAAAGTCTAAACATATTTCTTTTAATTTTCCCTATAGGAAAGAAAGGGTCACTATTGTTATCAGGATATGTTTTCTTCCATCATTGAGCATGGCCTCCTTTCTGTTTCTATTCCAGTTTATGCTGCTGTCATAAAGCAAATGGGTGACATGCCAAAATGACAAATATGCTAAATAGAAACAAACACTAGTGATATCAGACAATAAAAATAAAGTGTTAAAAGTGAAAGTCGCATGTATTCAGATGATAAGGCAGACGGGTGTGTTTATAATTGGAAGCTGCGCTGTTGGATTCAGTCCAGCTCACAGTGACCGCTCAGCATGACTGAAAGTGGAGAGCTGACTTGTGCTTTTCTGCTGCACAAACATGTACTTTATAGCTTGAAGAATGTTGTTACTGCAGTAAAATATATGCAAATCTTACAATAAGAGGAAATGTTAACACCAACATATAATAAAGTTGTCACAGTTCTGCTGAAAATCAAAGATTGCGTGCTGAATGTAGGAATTTGAGTAATATAAATGTTTTTATATCAAATCATAAAAATAGCATAGCCATTAAGATTACATGCCTTTTTAGAAGCAACAGGGATTTAAAGTGTATAGCCATGACTAACCTTGTGCTGAAGGCCATGACTCTACAAAGTCTTTAATATAAGGAGAATGTAATGCTGATATTTCTGTAGGCAGTAATGGTAACAGGGCAGATCAGCCCCTATACTGATAATGTGATTAAAAAATAAATAAATACATGAGGCAGTTACTTGCTTGAAGAGTTAAAGTCCTGAAAGAATGATTATGCCATTATGACATTTTTATGTAATTGAAGTAGGCCTAGGCTATTTATGTAATTGAAGTAGGCTATATGTAACTGTATCATATAAAGTAATAATAATTAAATATTGAATAATGATAGGACTTTTATAGCCTACCGATTATAATGAAATTCTTACTCTCAATTTGCGAGCATCTATTTTTTTTTTCTCTTTAGCGTAGCCTAGGCTAGCCTACTCTCACTAATTTGTGTTTACTGGAATCTTCGAAAACGCCGTTAAAATGTGTTGCCTGTTTCTGAATCTTATATATATATATATATATATATATATATATATATATATATATATATATATATATATATATATATATATATATATATATATATATATATTTATATATTTATATATATATATATATTATGGCCTAATGAGTCTATTATCCTCGTAGGCAATTTAGTTTAACAGTCATATTTTTCTCAGACAAAAATAATAGACCTCTTTTTTCCAGAATTTCTGATTTTGAAATATGACATTAAGGCTGTAGGCTACATTTTACAACATATTGTATATATACTCCAGCTTCGGTAACTTAAACAAAATATTAGAAATAATATGAATTGTGAATCTGCGGACGAGTGGAGTTCGTGTGACGTCACATCAGTTCCCTGGAGATCAGTGGAGGAGTGAGTGAATGCGCAGGATGCTGAGCTGAACAGCTGATTCTGAGCATTTAACCTGTACTATGGACAGCTGTATTCCGCTAACCTAGCATCTATTGCAGTATAAAAGGGGAAGCATTTTCACTACTGCGAACGAAAACGCACCAGCCTCACAATGGAACGTTTTCTTCATTCACCTGGCCGGACACGGGAAGAGTACCGGTACCAAACGCCGCGTCCTTCATCGAAACTCATCTCAAGGTCTGCCTTTAGCCTTGGGTCCACAGCACCACTGAGAGGTAATGAAACCCTTACCGAATTTGCCGCAAAACCGGCCGATAGCTTAGATTTTTCAAACAAATATGCAAGTGGAATGAATCTGAGGAAAATTAGTGAGAAAGAATTACTGCAGGGGCTCAATGACCGCTTCGCGGGATTCATCGAGAAGGTTCATCACCTGGAAAATCAAAACATAGCGCTAGAGAGAGAAATTGAGGCCATTCGACTCAGAGCAAAATCATCTTCCTCTCTGTCCAAAGAGTATGAATCAGAACTTAACGGTCTGAGGCAGCAAGTTCATGAGATTGGCCTTCAGAAGCATCAGATTGAGATAAACCGTCAGAATCTGGAGGACGAGTTTGACACTTTGAGAGAGAAGCATGAAAGAGAGACTCGTGGTCGAGTTGATGCTGAAGACAGCATTTCAGTACTGAAGAAGTGCATTAATGATGCATACCTAACCAAGCAAGACATGGACAGAAAAGCCAAAGCTCTCGAAGAGGAGATCGGATTCTTGAAGAAAAACCACGAAAGCGAGGTAGCAGAAATGATGACCCAAGTCCAAGAGGGTCATGTGACAGCAGAAATAAGTGATTTTAGTAGAAGTGATGTCACTGCAGCTCTGAGGGACATCAGGATGCAACTTGAAGGTCACACCGACTCTGACATCCGATATGCTGAGGAACGCTTTCGAGCACAGCTCGCCAAACTGACCAAAGCTGCTGAGGTCAACAGAGAAGCTCTCATGGCCACTAAAGCAGAGATTAATGAACACCGGAGACAGCTGCAGTCCAAGAACAGCGAGCTGGACTCTGTGAAAGGTGTGAGGGAAGCTCTGGAGAGGCAGCTGTATGACCTCGAGCAACGGCACAATGCTGAAATCCATCACTTCCAGGTATGGATATATAATGTGATGCACTGTTTAGCCTAGAATATTTTAATCATCTAGTGTGCGGAAATCTGAAATAAGAGCAATTCTGTTTAAATCAAGAAACAGTAAGTTGAGCACTATCAGTGTTGGGGAAAGTTACTTTTAAAAGTAATGCATTACAATATTGTGTTACTCCCTAAAAAAAAGTAGGTAATCGCATTACTAAGTTACTTTTTATGGAAAGAAATGTGTTGCGTTACATTTTCGTTACTTGTTCTCACCTTTGCGTAATATTCTGAGTTTGCATTTCACTGTTTTTATTCATTTTGAGGAATACTGAATCTGTTTTTGTGCAAGTGAAATGAGTAAATGCATACTCATATTTAGTCTAGAACTATAATAACCATCATGTTTGCACAACGCTCACAACTTGCATTACTTATTTGAAAAAGAAACTCAGACATTTTGTTTTAAATTTAAAAGTAATGTTACTTTACTAGTTATTTGAAAAAGTAATCTGATTACGTAACTCGTGCTACTTGTAATGCGCTACCCCAACACTGAGCACTAAACCAATTCTATATAATCTAAAATTCAGTACCATGTCATGTGGCTTTTTTTTTTTCTCTCTAATGCACTTCCATTGTGTTTACTTCTTTTGTCCATGGTGCAGGACACAATCAGAGAGTTGGAATACGAGCTGAAAAATGCTAAATATGACATGAGCAGTCATGTGAGGGAGTACCAGGACCTTCTCAATGTCAAAGTGGCACTGGATGCTGAAATTTATTCCTACAGGTACTTCTTTGATTACAGTATTTTGATTATACAGTATAAACCGTTTTACTGTTGACCTCATAGCAAACTCTCAGGACCAACAAAGTCTTCATAACAGGTCTGAAAAAAAATGATACATACAAAATTCATTTATCTCATTTATCATTATTTGCTCATGTATTTTTAGTCGCTTTCCATTCCTGATTCTGTCCGTATAGTGTTACAAATGTTTATCCAATTAAAGTGTATTTCTTTTCAATCCCTTTACAGTGCAAATTATTATTTTTTATTTGTACCTGGAAGGTTTAGTCTTGATATTGTGTGTCATTGCAGAAGTCTTCTTGCAGCACAATCACTTGTTATATGACATACAGAATTAGAGAGTGAACAAAGCGAGATATGTTCTACATAACTGAAATGTTTATTAAACAGGAATGCTAATTTGTATTTCAAATAATCATTACTAAGTGCTTTTTAGTCCAGTTTTCAATTAATTTGTTGTTTGATTACAGTGATTTTAAGTTTCAACAGAATTAGGTGTCATTTCATGATTTTGTTGGCGGGTTCCGTGTCTGTTAATGCTTGTGAGAGTTAGCCTCTGCATTAAGAAACAATAAATAGGACACATTTTTGACAAGATTCATTACAGTGCCATCAGAACCAAATTATAGTATTACTAGAAATGTCCGATACGTACTGGCAGGGCATCAGGGTTGACATGTCAAGCGTCTCCACATCCATGTCACTGATCCCATGACAGAGGAGATACTGAGAGATGACCTGGCTGAGGTTTTACTTCATGAGCCCTTGTGAGAAATACAGAACTCAACAATTATCATGAAAACTAGCTTTTAAAAGCTTTTTAAATTTTGCCGTGTTAGATGCGTTCCTGGGTCAACTTATTTTGTTGATCCTGGGACAACATTCCTGTCCGAAAATGTAATCGTAACCTTATCCCTAAACCTAACCCTGCCATTAACTTTCCCCTAAAATAAGAGGGAAATTTTAGGTGAATAACACTGATGTAGAAGCATCTAACCCAGGTTATAAACCTAAACTTGACATAAACTCTAAACATGTCCCTCAAATCAGTTATTGGAATGTTGTTCCAGAATCAACAAAGATGTTGATCCAGGAACATGTTGTACTTGGTGAAATCAGGGTCTGCGACGGGACTGTAATGAATGTTGTCAAAAACATGTCCGATTTAGAGTTTCTTAATGCTTAGATGTAAAATACATGGCTTGTCACTAGTTGAGCATAATGAATCTGAATATTATTCTAAATTGTTTTGTTTTCTTTTTTTACAGGAAACTTTTGGAGGGTGAAGAGTCAAGGTACTCTACAATCTCAGATGCACATATTTCAGTACCATACATTTACAGACAGTCACCCATCTATACTCTCCCTTGTGTCAAAAGGCAGGGGGGAGCAACTCGAAAAGCAGAGCCTCAGTACAAATTTGTTGAAGAGATTATTACAGAGACAACCAGAGAAGATGTGGAGATATCGGACTCTGGCTCTGAGAAGAGTGGGGAGGGGAGAGAGGGTGACAAACCAGATGAGGAGAGCAGTGAGAAAAATGAAACTCCTCAAGAAGCTGAAGATATTGAAGAACCAGCTGTGGAGACCGGCGATGAACACAGTCCTGAGATAGAGACAGAGGAAAATGAAGTCAAACCAAGTGATGAAAAAGAGGATGAACCAGTTAAAATTACTCCAGTTGATTCTGAGGTACAAAAAGATGCTGACTCTGAACCAACTCAAGACTCTACAGAAAAGGCCATTGATGAACAAGATAAATGTGAGGAAAGAGACACAAAAGACACAGAGCAGAAAGACCTGAAGGATGACATGAATGGAAAAGTTGATGGACCTGAAGAAGAACGTGTGAAAAAGAAAGATAAACCAGCTAAAGAGACAGAGAAAGATGTCCCCAAACCAGATATGTTAGAAAAGCAACAAATGCCAGAGAAATCAGAAACTGGACCAAAAGACAAACCATCTCAAGAGCCACAAAGTCCTGAAGCAACAACTGAAGTAAACGCTAAGCCCAGTGGACAAACTGTGGAGGTAACTTCTCCAAGAACTGAAGATGATAAAAACAAAGATGATAAAATCTCACCTCAAGAATCCACAACTAGAAAATCAGCAGAGAAGGAGAAAGAAACAACTCCAGTTCAACCTGTAGAGAAAGATTCTCCCAAACCAGATAAACCAGCAGCTGCTGAACATGCTGAGAGTGGAAAACAGACTACTGGAGAGGACACAGAGGAGGAGACCTCTGCAAAAAAAGATATTTCTGATACTGTAAAAGAAGAAACAAAACAATCTGAGCCTTTGGAAAAAGACCAAGAGGATAGCAACAAACTAACAGAGAAACCTGTGGAGAAGAAGCAAGAGGCTCAATCAAAGAAAGAGGAAAAAGAACAAAAACCTGAGGAGTCTGTTAAAGATAGCAAAGTTGCTGAACTGGTAGACAATGTGAAAACAGAAAAAGGTGAAAGTATCAAGCCTAAAGAAACAGAAAAGACACAAGAAAACCTTTCCAAAGCTGCAGAAGTGAAATCACAACCTGAAAAGTCACAGAAACAGGAGGACCGCAAAAGCGACAGTGTAGACACCGTCAAAACAGAAAAGGTTGAACTTGCTAAGCCTAAAGAAACAGAAAAGACACAAGAGGACATTTCGAAAGTTACGGAAGAAAAATCACAACCTGAAAAGTCAAAGAAACAGGAGGACAGCAAAAGCGACAGTGTAGACACCGTCAAAACTGAAAAGGTTGAACTTGCTAAGCCTGAAGAAACACAAGAGGCACAAGAGGACATTTCGAAAAAAGTTACGGAAGAAAAATCACAACCTGAAAAGTCACAGAAACAGGAGGACCGCAAAAGCGACAGTGTAGACACCGTCAAAACAGAAAAGGTTGAACTTGCTAAGCCTAAAGAAACAGAAAAGACACAAAAGGACATTTCCAAAGAAGTTACAGAAGAAAAATCACAACCTGAAAAGTCAAAGAAACAGGAGGACAGAAAAAGCGACAGTGTAGACACCGTCAAAACAGAAAAGGTTGAACTTGCTAAGCCTAAAGAAACAGAAAAGACACAAGAGGACATTTCGAAAGTTACGGAAGAAAAATCACAACCTGAAAAGTCACAGATAAAGGAGGACAGCAAAAGCGACAGTGTAGACACCGTCAAAACTGAAAAGGTTGAACTTGCTAAGCCTAAAGAAACAGAAAAGACACAAGAGGACGTTTTGAAAAAAGTTACGGAAGAAAAATCACAACCTGAAAAGTCACAGATACAGGAGGACAGCAAAAGCGACAGTGTAGACACCATCAAAACTGAAAAGGTTGAACTTGCTAAGCCTAAAGAAACACAAGAGGCACAAGAGGACATTTCCAAAGAAGTTACTGAAGAAAAATCACAACCTGAAAAGTCAAAGAAACAGGAGGACAGCAAAAGCGACAGCAGAGTGGAAAGTGTGACAAGCGGAGGGGAAGTTAAAGTCACAGAGAAACAGGTTGATGAAACACTGAGTAATCAATCCCCCAAAGCCAAGGAAACAAAATCTGATGCAAAGCCTGAGCAAAAGGATACTAAAGAAAACAAAGTGAAGACGTTTGAGAAAGCTGAAGAAGAGGATAGTGTGATGACCAACGGCACTGGAACCAGCAAGGATGTTAAAAGTGAAGAAACTGTCCCAAAAGACAAAGAATCAGACAGTGGTGAACATGAAGTGAAAGCGTCAACCAAAACAGAAGCTAAAGCTCTGGAGAAGACAGAGCAGGTCAAAGAGAGCAGCAAGAAGGACAGCGTGGACACCAAAGGTCCAGAAGAAACAACTAAACCCACTGATGTAGTGTAGAATAACAGCTACCCCTAAGAATAAAATGTCTTGAGAAAAGAGAATGAGAAAACTGTTTAAATAAGCTTCCTTGATGAATGCAATATAAATTACTCACACCCACGTGACAGATGATCTCAGTTTAGCATGGAATTTAGAAATTGCTTTCTGGAAGTCTGATGTTTCCAATGCAGATGCATGCGTACACTGTGATCTACGTGTACATGATGAATGTGTGAATCTTGAGGAATGTATAAGATTTTATTTTGCTACATCTGATCAGCCATATGTATGTATTAAAATAGTGCTATATATTAACTTAATAAATATTCCAGCATATCAGTGTTTCCTAGTGTATTAATTCAAGCGATTTTCCTACAGAGGAACTACAATAGGCCTACTGAGTTTTGTAAACTGTTTAATGGGGTGTCTGATGCTCCACTTCTTATCCTTGGTTCCAACACTTGCCAACCAGCACTCACATATTCTCTTTAGTCAACATAGCAGCTATTCATCTATAAAGGATCATAAGGCATTTAATTAGTGTATGTAACTCACTTAAGACTTACCCAGAAAAACCCTACAAGACTGCTTAACATTTTAAGATGTCTCTACTTTGTTGAGGCTTAAGTATATCATCTTAATCTGAAGGGCTACAAAATGACATCCAGATTACCAAAGCCTGTCTCAGTGCTGGAAACTAGGAGTTTGACATTAGGTCTATAGAGCAGTGGCTCTCAAGTGATTTTGCTTCATGTTCCAAAGTCCCACATAAACACTGTTCAAAAGTTGGGGGTCAGTAAGGATGTATTAAGTTGATCAAAAGTGACGGTCAAGACTTTTGTAACATTTGTAATGTTACAAAAGATTTCCATTTCAAACAATGTTCTTTTGAACTTTCTATTCATAAAAGAATTCCGATAAAAATTTTAAGCAGCACAACTGTTCGATATTGGTAAGAAATGTTGTAATCTTAGGCAGCAAATCAGCATATGAGAATGATTCTGAAGGATCATGTGTCACTGAAGGCTGCAGTAATAATGCTGAAATTTGAAAATTCAGCTTTACCATCACAGGAACAAATTTCACTTTAAAAAACATCAAAACAGAAAACTGCAATTGTGATCTAATACAATTTCGCAATAGTTTTTTTTTTTATCAAGTAAATGCAGCCTTGGTGAGCATAAGCCTTTCACAAAAAAAAAAGTTCCAACCCCAAAAATTTGAACAGTATAAGATGGTGACCAAAGACAGTATATTTTTTAATGTATTAAAGTAAACCTTCTACAAAATAATAAAATGACTATTACCATACATTGTAGACTCAAAACAGACATTTATGCAGATTACGTAAAATGTGAAAATTTGTCACATGCACAATAGCATTTCCCCAGTAACCGTAAACCCACAAAAAAAATGAAGTCCGGGTTGTTTTTTAAACCACTAAACCTGTCCTTGTTCGCCTAATTACACAGGAAAATAAAACATCCGTTTTAATCAAGTTATGTTCAATAGGTCAATACAAATGGGTGGAGAATATCAGATGTGAGAAAACAAGCAGTGTACCATGTTTTTACCAAGTGACATTCATTTCTGCCCAAACACTGAATATTTTTAACTGAACTGCAAAAGATACGAGAAGCTTTTATTCTACCTTTCAAAAGTGAATAAGCCCTTTAAATTTGCTTCCAATACGGTTGTGAACATTCAGCACCATTTTTCCTCTGCTGTGTGTCCACAATCCTGTTAGAACACAGACCTGCAGGCCCATTTTTGGGTTGCTAACACATTTCTGAGCTACAGTTTATATATGAAAACACATTTGCTTTGTAATCAAGAAGAACTGTATCATAAATGAGTTTAAATAGTTTATTGAAAAGTTCAAACATACACATAAGGACCTCTGAGGTATTGAGAAAGCTTGGCCTCAGGGAACCAGGGTCATAATGCAACACCGGGAGCAAAAGGTACTGAACTCAAACCACCTGTTCCACCTTCACGGTGAGCTGCGGAGAGTCATCTGTGCTGCAAATGAAAACTAAAGACCAGCCATGCCAGCTCTGGAACACCAGCGTTCATCTCCCCACTAGCCTACCCAAAAACTGCTCAGTTAAGGGCAGACTTCATGTACAACGGTTACTCTGGATGGCTGCCGAAGGAAAAGTAAACTGCTTAAGCTCGTCCTTGCGTGCATGGAAAGAAGAAAACGGTATAACAGTATTTAAATAATATCAGGTATAACCTTTAATATAGTTAAGTAGTTGCATGAATCGCATTCAGACGACTAAGGAATATCAGATACAATACAAATGATGAAATCAGGGACAGTTTTGTCACAAACCCACCACCGTCTAACTGAGAAAAGAACAACAGGATGCCACAGATGCCCTCCATCCCAGAGAGTATTGAATGACTGCGGCAGTGCTGGAGACAGATGAGGAACTTGATTTGTAGCTGAATGTCTATAAGAGAACAACTACAAACAGATACAAACAAGGGCATTTGGACCAGAAGGGGACAAAAAGAAACACCATGACATGATCGCTTTTGATGAGCCTTTGCACACATCCCATCCCATCCTGAATCCCCCTGCTGGTTGCTGTTGGAGTTAGATTTAAGGCCAGATTTCTCTGATATTCCCTTGTCCCTGATGTTAAGCAGGAGCAGGTTTAGGCCTCCAGCTCCAGGCCCAAGCCCAGCTTGTGGCCACCGGAATTGATGCTCTTTCCATCAACCAGGGCCGACAGGGTCAACTTGATGCCTGAAAAACCACCACAGAGTTAATCACTGGACCTTTTACAGCAGGGTTCCTGATCTGCAGAGTTTAGTTCCAGCCCTAATCGAACACGCCTGGACAAGCCAATCACAGTTTTCAGAGTTACTGGGAAATCACAGGCAAGTGAGTTTGATCAGGGTTAGAGCTAAACTCTGCAGGATTTGAGGAACCCTGTTTTACAGCATCCTAACGACATAAAAACTAAATTATTAAAAGGATGTTTCATGTTTCAAATATTTCCAAAACAACTTGTTTTATCAGTCTCCAAAGGTGAAGTCAAGCATATTTTGTGGTGAACAGATACCAACAATAAACTATTGTGAGGAATAAAAAACAAAACAATGGCTTTAACAGAAATTATCATGTGTGAATACTAAGAGGAAATGCAAGACTGTACCTGGTCTCAGAGTCTGAGTATAACCAACACCGACAAGGCTGGTGTTATTCACTTTAGCCTGTAGAAATGAGAGAAAACGTTGACTCATTTCTGAAGACATTGTGTGAACATGCAAAGCCAAATGTAACATTCAACTAGGGCTGGGGCGGTATGGATTTTTTCTAACCGCGGTTGAAAAGCAAGATATTCCCACGGTATAGCAGTAAACCGCTTTAAACACCCCCCCACTAATTGCCTGGAATTAATAAACAAGAAGCAAATATAGCAGACATATAATCAGGATGACGTGGAAGCGCCGGTGCGATCTCTTGCGCGTGAACTGGAGCTCGTCTCATAAATAAACCGAAACTCGTGCGCCCATCGGAGACGGAGTTCACTGCTGATATTCTGAGGATACAACATAGCCAATAGGCTATACTAGGGACTTTAGCCTTTAAATATCTTTGCTGAATGCGCAGTCTCCTTTCTAGGACAGCCAAGAGCTTTCTAGCCTCGCGGCAGCAGCGCCTTGCATCGCTCATAGACCTAAAAACTGATCAAAAAACGAAAATTGATCAAAAAACGTTGCTGGATGCCGGACAGATGATGAGATTTGTGCTGCGGTTCCGTTGCAGATGAAATAATAATAGCCCATCCGCGCATCTCTAATACAAATGTAATGTTATTATGTGTCATGGAACATTGCGCTCCCCAACTCGCGAAAGGGATTTGCTCCATCTTTTGATAAGTTTTGTTTAGAAAACCTTGAATCCATGTAAGACACACTATCATTAGAAATAATCCATGTCATTAGAATCAATGAATCCATATCATTAGACACAACGTGCACATGTGCAGGCCAATGTTGTTGTTTTTTTTGCGGTGATGACGGTGGCGAGCTCAGACCCGCGGTTGGAGTCACGTGACCGCGGTATTGCGGTAACCGTCCCAGCCCTACATTCAACAAACACACAAATGTAACAAACACATTCACGAGGAGCCTGAGTTCCTGTCTCTTGAACAAAAGCTGTACTTTTAGTAGCGCCTCATGAATTGTACTTCGGTTCACAGAGTTGCCATCTGATACTCAACAGCACACGGGCACAGACCTTTGGCAATGGGTCGATGCCAAATTCTGTGTAAAGAATCGATATAAAAGCTGTACTAAAATATGTGTGCTCTGATGGCCAATGGAAATCAGAGGTGGCTCTGGGGCATCACAGCAGCATTAAACTTTATAATGGTCAATCAGCACACATCGTTGGCTGTGAATGAGAACTATTGATCAATAATTGAGACACATTGTGTCCGTCATGATGAAAAACACTGCTAGGTTGTTTTGTAAGATTCTATAAAATAAAGCTCTGCCTTTTTGGCCTTGGCTGTGAAATTTATTCCTGTATGCATTTATTTGCAGTGCAAAGATCAGTGAAGATCAATAATAATCCATTAATAATGAAAAATAATCATTTGGAGAAACCAACAGAATGCATTAGTAATTCGATGTTCTCTGCACCCTTTCCTATTTATGGAGAAAAGTACATTTAGGGTACATTTACACAACAACGATGTACTAAAAATGGAAACGTTTTTCCTTTGCATTTTTCACATACAGACGACAAAGTTGTCAAAATGATCCCGGTTCACACGGTTCCGCGAAAAACGACTAAAAATGCTGTATTCTGCTGCCAGGCCAGTAGTTGGTGATGTGACTTTGTAAAGAAACAACGTGCCTAAAGACTGAACACATATTTGGGGTTCCAGGCCCCCAAAACGCTGTTGTCGGGTAAATGAACAGCAAAAATGCATAAAAAGTTTGCCATTTTAAGTTGAAAAGGGTGCAGTGTAAACGGCCCCTTAGAAATGTAGAAAAATTAGCAATACGACTTTACTCACACAG